GAAAGTATTGACTGTTGGAACTTAAGCCTCTTGTTGGGGCAATGAATTCAATTCGTTGGTGATTCTATAGGAAATTTGATAGTCAGTCTTCAGTCTTAGGTAATAATGAGAGTATGTTGGTGGACCTATGTTGATCCTTGAATCTTGTTTTCTAGTGGAGGTCCAGCTTCTCCTAGAAAATGTTTGGTGATGGGTCTGACGCTATTTTTCCTAGCAAGGCATTCCAGACATTGACTACTTGATGAGAAACGAAACCCCAACTTAAGTTTAGGGGAGAACTGACAAGAAATTTGTTCTGAGTTTGTGAACCTTTATAGAGTGCCCTCGTAAATTCTCCATCCTTGAAAACAGGAAAAATAAGGGCATATCATGTGCAAAATTATCACTAAATAATTTAAAAGTTGTGATCAAGTGGCCTCTGATCCTTCTATATGACAAGGGAATTAGATTTATTTTAGATAATATATCGTCATATGGGAGATTCGTCATCACGGAAGTCAACTTAATTTATGATTTTCTGAACCCCTTACAGTAGCTTACTTTTTTGTGACAGAAGCTAACTTCTTGTACTTAGTCCTCACGTTTAGAACCAACGAAAACTGTATACGAAGTCAAAAGATTTTAGCATCGACATGGCTAAAGGCTCTTTGTATTGACTTCAAAGTTCTTAAACCTTCTGGTGGCTATCGCACAGCAGTGTGCAGTAGTTTTTAAGTCTTGGCTAACGATGACCCCCAGGTCATTGTGTGTTTGGACAACGGGTAGCTCTATGTTATTCGCCATATATATTCCTGTACCTTACTGACCAATATGCATCATTATGTACTTGAAAGCATTTATCGGCAACTGCCAAATTTTAGATCATTCAGATAAATTTTTCCAGATCATTTTGAAGCTCTAAACTATCACCTTCATTTTTTATCTCTCTCCATATCTTGAAACCGTCAGCACATAACAAGATCGGTGATGATAGGAGTCTAGAAAGGTCATTTACATACAGGAGGAACAACAATGGCCCGAAAATTGTATATGAGGCACTCTGCTAAGCACAGTTTCCAAGCCAGACAACTTTGCGTTCATCTGTACTTTTTGTTGACGTCTAATTAGGAAGTTCTTGATCCATACAAACAAATTGCCTCCCATATCAATATTACTTGACTTAAATAACAGCCGGTTGTGAGAAAATTTGTCAAAAGCCTTACTTAAGTCAATGTAGACCACATCTATAGATAACTTTTGATTTTTAGGATCACACAAGCTTTCATGGGCTACCAATGAGTTTGTGAGACGTAAGTGACCTGTTTTAAAGTCATTCCGTTTTTCGGAAGAGTCCAGTTTACATCTAGATATTCAAGCATTTCTTTCCAAATAATGTTCCTATCATTTTAAAGAACACACTGGCCAGGCTCATAGTGACGTGTATATTCAATGACCTTGTAATGATAAAATAAAGACCACACTTATGTTTATTGTCTCATGTTGTGTAGAATTATGGTCTAGTCCGGAATTCGTTCATTTATCTTTGTTACTATAATCATAGATCTAATCCCGAAATTGCAGATTTATCATGATGTGACTACCTAATCTGTAAGTTCCTAGTTGAAATTCACGCCGTTTTCTATTCTGACTTGTATCCTGACAATCAGCAATCCGATGTTTAGCACTTCTGAAGAACACATCTGGGCTGGAAAGAAAGCAGGAGGTTACATAGGGTGACCACATATGTATGGCCGAGCTATTTCATGTCGATTAATTGTCCCCGCGTTTGCTGCTGTTGGCTTGCACGTAGTGCTACATGTTGAATGTAAATCTCCCCAGTAATCATACACTCACCTTCAGCGATCGTGTGCTTGGGAATCAATACCATTACAAGCTCTTCCGCTGTGATCGAGTCGTTAAGAAGGGTAGTGGTTGTCTAATATATGCATCTAAAATCTATAGCAATGCTTTCCTCAGCAATTTTCCTGATTCTATGTGGCTTACTGTACACGCTTATGGATGTAAATACTAGTTAAATGTGTATATTGAGCTCTAAATACTCCTGGTTCAACCGGAGGCACTATAAAACAGTCATTCTCTAAAGCTGCCTCTCTTAATTTGGCCTGAAAAATTATTTGTTGTGATTTAAATCTTCTCAACACTAACTGGAAGAAACTTCAATCCATCGTGCTTTGAAAACATACTTAGTTACTTGGACACATGGTTGGCAGCAAAATGTACACACGAGTACACAAAATCATAACATTCTCAAGTTGGTATTCTGTCACAATGTCACACCAACATCTGTAGTGGTTGGCAAGAAGTCTCAGAACAGCGATCATAAAACAGTTCTCTATACCCTACTGTTTTTTTGTAAAGTGCAACAAATCCAAGACAATAAATATGCATTTTCAATGTAGAGATTATGCACAAGCTGACTGGGAAATCTTTCGATTTCTAATCCAGCACTTTGACTGTAGCGGTTTCTCTCCTGGTGTTATGCTCTAAGAAACAACAGAACTATTCAATTTTACTAGACACTACTATCCCATCCTAAATTGTTTTTGAAACAGTCACTCTTACATCAACCAAAGACCTGGGTTTAAGCTGTGGAAACTAAAAAGGAAGTATTGTATATCTACAGATCTCAGTGCCCAGGATAAAAAAAAGTAGACAAGCAGAGGAACATACTGCTCTCACTACCGCATGCGAATCCCTCGGCTTATGTTGTGTCCTTAAAAAGAGTATAAGAAGGAGTGTAGACCGCAAAACTCACTCCATACGGTACGATGCTGTGACGCATTGTAACCGAATGGTTATATGTGTACTGCTAAGTGAATGGTTTACCCACATTGGGATAAATCTCACGCCCGTACATTAACGTCAAATGTATCGGCAAAAATAATCTCAGTACCATCAATGTTGATTCAGTTACCTACTTACTAACTTACTCCTGTTACTTCTTATGGGAGAGCATAGACTGACAACCAGCATTCCCCATCCAACACTGTCCTGGGCAATCCTTTCTAGTTCTTTTCAGTTGATACTCATTTTTTTCATATCTGCTTCCAACTCCCGATGCAGTGTTCTTCGGCCTTCCTCCTTTCCGTTTCACTTCAGGATTCCAATTTAGTATTCGCCTCGCGATACAGTTTGATAATTTTCTCAATGTGTGGCTTATCCACTTCCAGCGATTTTTCCTAATTTCTTCCTCATCTGGAAGTTGGTTTGTTCTCTCCCACAGTAGGCTGTTACTTATGGTATTCTGTCAACGGACATCGAGTACCTTGAGTAGTCAATTATTCCAGATACTTGCACATTTTTGAAGATGCTTATGGTAGTTCTCCAAGTTTCAACCCTGTCTTGACGTCCATATTGAAGGTTCTGTCTTTGATATTGGTTGGCATATGTTTCGAGTTCCATGCGTTCTTCAGTTGTAGGAATGCTTCCTTTACTTTTTCAATCTTTGCCTTCATCTCCGCAATAGATCCTCCTTGCTCATCGATAATGTTGTCCAGATATGTGATAAACACACCTATTTCAAAGCAGTCCCATCATCTGTGATTGGGTTGATTCTTGCTGTGTTGTATTTGAGAGTTCTGGTTTTCCCTGATGTATTTTGAGGCATACCGATACGTAGGTTGCTGCTGCACTAGTTATTTTCATCTGCATCTGTTCATGTGATTGGGATAGAAGAGCCACTTTATCTGCAAAGTTCAAATCTTCTAAACGATTCCGAGCTGTCCATCGTATTCCATGTATTCCTTCAGATACGATGTTCCTAATCCAGTCAACTGCCAGAAGAAAGAGAAAGAAGCATAGTAAGCAGCTATGTCTAACTCTGGTCCTCAATTGGAATGCATCTGTCCTCCATGCACGACTTCACAGTGTAGTCCGTTGTAAAAATTACATATGATGTTGACAGTCTTCCCAGTTACACCATAGTGTCGAAGAAGGTTCCGTAACGTTTTCCTGTGTATTCTGTCAAATGCTTTTACATAGTCAAGGAAGTTGAGGTA